AACAAAGAAGTTGGGATGTTGCTTCTCCTTTAAAGCTTAATTTCTACTGTGTCTTCTGGAATATAAAAGTGTGTTATGCCAGTCTAGGTGATAACGTTATTTAAAACAGCTTTTTCAGAGTGTTCGATCTGTGTGCTCCTGTGTTGGGGATGTATATATATTTATATTATTTTAATTGCCCGGATGGCAGGGAATAATCAGAAAAAAGAGCGTGAATGTTGTTCTGTATGATGACATCTGAGAGGTTGGTTTTTCAGATTATTTTTTTTTCTCTCCAAAGTGTCTTTACTGATCAAAAGTTGAATATTACGGTGTGAAGTAATACAGAAAGAATTGATATTTTTATTAAATTTGCAAATACTGAAGTCATGGATGAGGCACGCAGCTCTAATACTGAATGGTTTTCATGCCATGGAAATATTTTTACTTCTGGCTTCCTTCCTTCTTTGAAGATTATTGAGGAAAAGATAAGTTTTTCAGCAGTGTAGCAAACTCTTCAGCCAGCTTTTCCAATTCATGGTGAAATTGTGGGGTCCTTCCCATCTTGCAGTTCCTTTGTCTTTGGAAAATAGTGCTTTATATGTACCTTCCAAACTGTCTCCCCGAGCCTTTCTAATGAGTGGATTATAAATGACTGCCACTTTTATAAAATTGAGAATTAATAATGCTGCAAGTGCGCAGCTTCTGTGACAGTAAGTTAATTTTGATTGTCACTGTGATCCCCATCTTCAAAGCTATCGGTGCTTAATATTGTTTGCTTCCCCAAGTATTTGATTGTTTGGGATTGCTAGTTTTTTAAATTGGCAAGTGTTGATTTATTTGATAATGCACTGATGCATCATCCCATCACTCTTTTCTCATTCTCTTTTCAAGAACCGTATTTAATGAGAATTATAAACCAAAGAAGGCCATACACTCATAAATTAAAACTTGGGGACAAAAAGAGTCCCGGGATAAGTAAGGAAGCCATGCACCATAATTACACATTTGCCTAACTTCTTGACTGCCTCTTTACCCCCAATTGGTGTATCTCAACAGACAGCTGAGGAGCTGCCCCTGTTAGGAGATCTGTCCTCTATCTTCTTTTCCCCACCCTGTACTGTCCCCTTTGACCTTTTTTTGTACCCTCTCCATTCCAGCATGGTAGTCTGAAGCCTATTTCTGTAATTTACTTAATTTATTACTGTTATTGCTATAGAAAGTAACTATCCCATTTTGTATGCAATATATATCTCACATGTGCAATGTTTGTTTTTACTTTGAAATCCATGGTCAATGTCTTCTTTCATGGCAGAAAAGAGGGGATCTGATGATAAAAAAAGTAGTATGAAGTCCAGTAGTCGAGAAAAACAGAGTGAAGACACAAATACAGACTCGAAGGAGAGTGATACTAAGAATGAGGTCAATGGGACCAGTGAAGACATTAAATCTGAAGGTGACACTCAGTCCAATTAAAACTGATCTGATATGACCTCAGATCAGACAGAGGTAAGTGCATTATTTCAAACTTTGATTAGGGCTTTTTGTTACTGTTTAACAGTGCAGCGTAAGTATGCACAGATGAAGATGGAACTAAGCCAAGTAAGAAGACATACTAAAGCACCTTCTGAAGGAAAAGACAGTGTAGTCCTGCAAAACATTTTGAGGTACATTGTTTTGTCTCAGCTATTTTGTAGCAGACTCGTGCCCCCATTAGTGTGCCTCTTTGGGACATATTTGTAATATAGCCACCATAGAAAAATTAATTATCCTTTTTTATTTTTAGGGATTTTGTTATCGTTTTTTTTAAAAAAGTTGAACTGTTTTTGTATTTAAGTCCATATTGTGTTGGTACATCAGCAGAAACTTTTGCTTTAATGCTTAATATTTGAGGCACATGTTGGACTACTTTGTTTTCATATAAACTGCTAGTATTTCTTTGTCAAGGATGTTTCTAGTTTTTTTGCTTTATTGCCTTGCATTCTAATGCAGTTTGTTCTGTAACTCGAGAGCCAGTAGCATTGGATTGATGGAAGTGTAGGGTTTATGAATTATTGCAGCTGACTACCATACCTCACACAGCGTTGGTGTTGTGAGCGGCCCATGAAAAACCAAATTAAAAATCAAGGATTCAGTCAAACTAAGCAGGTACTCATGCCAGGTACTCCTTTCTCTACCCACATCCATGTTTGAATGCTGTTGCCTGTAATCTTTAAGCTTACTGTTGTGTTTTTGATTTTCAAGATAGTGAAAAGGACTTTTTTTTTGTGTATTGTGTGAATACTGTTAATCTGATGTTAACAGACTGGAATTTTCTTTCAACTGTATGTAGGGATGCAGTGCTGCCCAGAATTAGATATCTTTAAAGAGTTTAAAATGCAATAAACACTACATAATAATCGCCTTGTTACTTTCAATGCAATTCAAGTCTTTAAGAGGTATGTGTTTAATATTTCCTACGGTGTAGGAGAATTTGCAATCAATCAGCCATAGTTCAGAGAGGTGGAATGGCTGGTAACGGGCTTCTAAGGCAAATGTAAATGCAAAGACAGATGCCACCAAATGATTACAATGTTCATGGAGAGAATGTATGCTGAGAAACTGTTTGTTGGAAATGAAAGAGCTAAATAATAGGAAATCCAAATACTGTATTAAAAGGAAAACTTGGAAGTTTTTTTCCCTGCTCTTGACATAGCTTTCTTACAGAAGGTCTTTAGTTGTATACCTGAAATAAGGAACTAACAATGGAGAGTACAGCTGATAAATGAGCTTCTTGCAACGTAAATTGTTACTGTAGTTTTCATTATTTATGCTAGGAACTCTTAAGCACTTAATGTTGATTATTAAACCATTAATGCTACATTATTGCTTCTAAAGCCAGTCATGTTCAATGTTGACATTTTTGTAGAGTTAAGATGACAGCTAACAACTGGGCCAATATATAGGAATGGTGACCTAAATGCTCTTAATGCTGTCTAATTGTCTGTTTTCCCAAAATTTTGCATTATAGGACTACTACATGAAGAGTCTGCGAAGACAGCGGAAGACAGCTTAAACTGAAGATCTGCTTTAAAATGAGGTGAAAGAAAGCTGTAGTGGCGTAGAAAAATATAAAGTTGAGTTAGAAATTTTTTTTTTTTATAAAATTTAATTCAGGACTGGTGTTTCCTCCCAGAGTTCAGAAAGATGTGTTGATAATAGCACATATGCTACTGAGAATATAAGTCCTGTATCCTTTTTTTCTTTAAGACTTTTTAAGATAAGAAACCAACATAACCTGAACACATGGCTTGCTCAGTGTTTAATTGCAAGTTTTCATTCTTGGACTTTAAAACACAAGAATAAATGTTTAGTATTTGTGTGAATCGAACTAAAATGAATCCCATTTTTACAACTAAGCTATTCCTAGCTTCTTGATATACGAGAAATGGAAATAAAGTATCTTTGAATTTCTGTTACAAATTTGATTGTCTCTGTCATTGAACGTTTAATATTAAATAAGTTTCTTTCCTAATAAATCTACTCATGTCTTCAAGTTTAGTCCATTAATTTGGATGCTTAGTTATTCTGTGGTGTTTGTGGGTTTGGGGGTTTTTTTTGATGCCATCAGTTAGCTTTCTTTTTCAGCAGTTAGATGGCAGCTGGTTGTGTCCCCCCAAAACAGTGCTTAGGCTTATGCTGCAGTTGGTTAAGGAATTGCAGAAATCTCACAATAAAAATGCAGGCCCTAAGCCTTTATAAAGCATTAGACTTGCACAGTGTTGTCATAAAGATGCCACTGCTGAGATTGGCCATCAGACTGCCTTTATATTTGCACTTCAGTTTGGAATATTAATTAACAACTGCATGCTGTTGGTAGATGTGCACAGTCTGTATGTTACACCAGATATAAGGGAAAAGAAACATCCCCTGTGCTTCCTCGTGAAGCTACAGGGTGAGCAAGTGTGGTTCTTGTTGGGATAGAACTGTAGTGGGGACTAGGCAGCAGGAGAGACAGCAAAGTGTGCTTCAGTGCTGTGTCTGTAAGGCAATGGAAAAGCATTATCCTTCATATTAGTATTCAGGACGTGACTGTACATGAAACTGGAGCCATACATGGACAGAGCACTATTGTAACGTGCTCGTAACGTTGGTGTGCCTTGTGTCATCTGTTTGTGAAGTGCACTCGTGAAAGGACCTGCATGTTGGTCCCTCTGGTGAAGCAAAGGCTGGTTTTCGGATAAGGAGGGCCACTATATGCAGACTGCCATGTTCCCTTTTTGAGTTTTATATTTCTAAAGCAGGCACAGGGGACTGAGACTGGGTAGTGGGGTTCTTTTTAAAAAACTTAACAAGAAAAATTAATTCAAGTGGGAGCCAGTAAAATTATAGCTAAGTTCTAATTATGGACATTGCATAAACACCTATGCCTTTTGAAATTTGTGTAAGAGGCATGATTCAGCTGCTGCCTCAATGTGTTAACTTCTTTCAGTGGCTAAAATGTTTGTCTTGCACCTTCCATTGCACATTTTTATTATAGGACTAGCATTTTCCCTTCTTTATTTTGCAGAGGTGTAATGATATAATGAGGTAACTTGTAGTAAATTGGGCTGGGATTCAGATTTTGACATGTCTGATAGTGGAGTCGTTCTCTAGTGTATTGAAGATGAAGGAAAAATTGTATCTTTCAGAGCAAAGGAAACTTGGTGCCTTTTTAGTAACTATGTTCAGGTTTGGCTGTAACAAAGCATTTCCAGAAGACAGTAATCTCTGTGAAGTGTCATCTTCAGAGCTTAAGCCAAAGATAAATATAATCTTGGATTTTCTAGGAATGCTATGCAAAAAGCAAGTGTTTTATTTAAGTAAGCACCTCCTATGTGCTTTCTCCGTAGTGGTGTTGGCAGCTTGACAGTCTTTTATTACATGTTAAAAATGTACTGGCCCATGATTTTTCAAAGTTGTGTTAAAATTTTAAGTGTGTCCTGTCCACTCCAGAGTGCCATGTGTCATCCCCACCCCCTTGAAAAAGGAAGAGATCTATGTAATTGAAACAACTGATACTTTAATATAAGTGAAGAATAGCAATGTCAGTTCAGTACAAGTTTGTAGTGCAAACAAAAGTTGTCCTTGGAAGAACAGTAAGTTTTGTAAACTTAGTTTCAGTTGTCACACCAACGCTTTATTGTTCAAAGGAGAAAAAATGAAACAAAACAACAAAACCCAGTTAACGTAACTAGTGTGCCTTAGAGTTTATCAAACTGCATAAAACATACAAAAATATTTCTCTGAATGCATAGACTTACTGTTATTATTACAGTCAGATCATGATTAAAGTTTTAGTCTTATAACATTAACAGTTACTCTGTGGAAACTAGAGCAAATAAAGCTTTTTTTATTTTTAACCAGCTGCTCCTATAGCTGAATGCTCAGTAATTAGTGGAGGCAGTCTTTACACTGATTCCCTAAACAAAGGAACTGAAAAGAAATTAGATATTCTTCATTTTGAGCCATTGAACCACTACTGTTTTTCAAACAGTTATTGCACGTAATCTGAACTAGTTTCCAAGCTGTGCTGAAAAAATAAATATATTTGTTAAAGTAAAAACTCCTTTCCTGTTCTACAAGAGAAACAAAGCGGGAGTTATAGTTAAGAAATTTTACTTCATCCTGTGTCACAGTCTTGAGCTTCCCAGGAGTTAAATCAGCCTTTGAAGTAGCCCAGCTCCAGGAGAGAGAGGGCCAGGACTGAGGAGGGGGAATTAGCAGAGTTCAGGTAATGAGAGGGATAGAGAGCAAGTGGGAAAGGATGATAATTATTTTGAATGCACTAAGCAGGCATTTTAAGCCTAGAGCAACTTGGTGACATCCTGAGGCCAGAGCCAAGCATCTCTTCTGCTGGCAGAAGGGGGTTCTGTATTTTATATGCAGTGCCTTTACTGCACTTGGAGGAGCCACATTTGGGGGTACAGGGGCTGTGCTGTGGGAGCTCAGGCAGGGTGGCAGCCACACTGCTCCTACCAAAACATCCTGATTGTACTAGTTCTGTTCTGAATGTCAGCATTACAATCCCAATCAACAACAACAAACCCTGCACCAGCTGTGCACAAACTATCTTCAACACAGCTTAATAAAGCAGAGACAGAGGAAAATCAATACATTTGGCGGGGGGGGGAAGCAGCTCATGTCCAGATAAAACCTCCCTCACCCACCTCAGGACCCAATTAAGGTTTTTGGTGCAAAGGTCATCATCATAGGTTTTGGTACAAAAGAAAAAAATAAAAGCCTCCTAAGGTATAACTTTGGAGTTATATAATATATATATAACAGGAAAAACTTCAGGCTGTTAATACTCCAGCAATGCTGTGACTTAAATACTTTGTTCAGACTGAAAGGGAGTGACTTCAGGGTGTGTTTTAATGATGAATTTTGCCATTCATAAAACCCCAGATTAATGTTTTAATTTCTGACTTGCTTAAATGCAAGTTAAGTAAAGTAGTCTGTAGCTTAGTGAGAGTCTGGTTGGGGTTTCCCCCCACCACCACTAAAAAATATCAGTGGGAAGCACCTGGAGGCATTCAGCCCTTTCAGTACTCACCTGGCTAAAACTTCAGACACTGTAAAGTGACAGTAGACTGTGCAACACGTAAAGTTACAGGTTATTTATTTGCTAATGGTACATATTTTCAGTTTAGTATGAGTAATCAATGGTGTGCTCCTTATAGTTGTGATACCTCAAGAGTATACTGTTGTGCTTCTCCTGCTCCTCACACAGCAGAAATTAATTAACCACACAGCCCGTAACTGGTCTGTGAAGGTGGGCTATAACCAAGTCAGCCTGATTAACAGAACTGACTTCTGGTGTGAGTAATGCATAGTCTTCTCATGTTGTTGGGGAAGATAAATCAATAAAACCATGGGCACAGATTTGTCATCCTCTCCCTATCTCCTGATACATTAGGGCTTTCTTTTAAAAGGACACTTTAATTTGCTTTGTGACAGAAAAGCTCCTTAATTAAGAGAGAGTCTTCCATAATTTTTTGTGGGGGGATTAACTTAAAATATTCTCATATGGGAAAGAAACAAATGTTTAACTGTTGACACTTAGTCCACTTATTTTCAACCCAGTGAAATTTTTCTCCTGTCACTTCAGAGCATTAAGTATTTCTTACCCCAGCAGGAAAGACAACACATCTTGGTAGGTCTTAGTTAAGGGACAAGAGATTAAGGACTTGCAAGTTTCACGTTTTTAGAGAGCAACTGTTCATTTTATGCCAAACGGACTGACTTTTAACTTAATCAGGAAGTTTAAAAAAAAAATACACACAGAGACATACACAATTTCCTGAATGTCTTTTCTGTGACTCTTATTTGGTCAAAGAGTGGGAGTACTCAACATGCTTTTCATATCAGTAATTAAGTCTTTCCTGCCCTCTGTTGCCAAATACAGCCAATAAACTTCATTGGAAGCATGTGATTTTAGTAGACAAATGAGGTATCCCTTATCTCAATACAGTATCAAGTAAAAAAATAAAAGCAAAGGGGATATTAAATATAAAAGATAAACTATTAGTTAAAATAGTAACCCTAACAATAACTTAAGGTTTTATACACACTTAATTCACTGCCTTCCCAAGGCAGCAGCATATAATTACCAGGTTTTCACGCTCTAGATGCATCTAGAAGAGTCAGTAAGTCAGTTTGGATGCTCTGCTGTTGTAGCACGGTCTCTCAGTCAACGTTGATGCAGCATTTCTGAAAGGAGAGCTGTCGCTTTTCACAAGAACTAACTCCAGCTCTTGGAAGTCCTGAAGTCTGGCAACATCCTTATCCTTTTAAAGAACAGACAGAACTATGCGTTACTTCTAAACATAGCTGGTTGTTATTATTTATAACAACAGATAAAGGAAGTAAAAACTAAAATTCCAGGGAGGTCACGCCCAATGATAAATATAAAATTTAAAAACAATCCTCCCAGTAGACTCTCTTTCTTTCAAATCATGTTTGGGTTTTTTTCTCTCCTTGAACCATACTTTTTTTTTTTTTTTTTTCTCCTTGAAACTCATTATGATGTGACTGCTTAACTAAGAGCTGTGACCAAATGCCTTTCATATACAGACCTCCAGAACAGGTATTTTTGGAACAGAAGACCGTGTTCATTGGTTAATATCTTTAAATTATTCACATGCCAATTTGTGGGTTTTTTCCCCTTAATATTTGGGTTTTTTAGGCAAGCAAACAGTGGAGCAGCACATGGCAATTACGTTAAAAGCATACTAATGCACTGTTTCTGATACATTTTTTTTTAAAAAGTCAAGCTGTAACAGTTTCATGTACTTTGCTGAAATAATAACTCTTGTTCTGACAGGAATATTTTTCAGTACGTTACGGTGCAGTTTTACAGAAAGTCCAGTATCCTTCTGAATTTGTGAACTTAAGTCAGTTTTTGTTTTTTAACACAAAGCCATTCACGTTTTGCCAGTTGTTTTACAGAAGTATCTTCTCTGAGGTCGGCAAAGTGCAAAGTCAAATTAATCTCAGATCTCAATTCTTACCTTTCTCACTAGTGTATTAGGTAATTTTCTGATCTTCTCTACGTGCTCCGGCTTAACGCCCAGTTCACAGCAGCTCACTCTGAGCAGATCCTGGTAGGTCAGTTCTTGTCTGTCCAGCTCAATTTCAATGAAGTCATTGTCTCTCAGGTTCTGGACCCTCACCTTAAGCACAAGTTCTGATTGGAAAATAATAATAAAACATTAAGAGACTTTTTACCTCAAAAAAAACCCAAACCAACCCAAACCTAACAGTAAAGTATTTACTATTATCTTTTGAATTCAGGTGTATAATACAATACCTATAATTCCCTGAGAAACACTGTGCTGTAAATGGAAGCTTCCATTTGAACAGCAAGAAATACCCAGGGGAACTGTGTTCACAGCGTTAAAAATCTGACCCATTCAGCCACAAAGTCAAGCTGCTGCCAAACTGCCTGAGATGCATTTGAAGCTATATAACACAGTGCAAAATATGAATATTTTTTTGTTGCTTGGAGTGATCTTTCCATCAGTTTGCAAAGCATTACCATTAAAATAGAGTGTAACAGTTATTCTACTTAGCAGAGCGGAAAAAGTAAAGTTCTGGGTGCTTGCCAAAGAACCCAGCATCTCTGCCTCTAGTGCCCATGAGTGTGGAAGCGGAATGATTCTTTAACTTCATCTTTTACCCAGAAACACAGAACGGGACAGAACAGGATGGGAAATCACCCTTTGTTACCTTGCATGTTATAGGGGAAGGTTCCAGTAAAGAAAACGGGCTGAAAGGCCGGTGCGGGGCCGGTGGGTGAGTCGGCGTGGGGCGGTGCGGGGGGCGAGCAGAGCCGGGCGCTGTGGGTCTGGGCCGGTTGGCAAACGGGGCCGTTGGGGGCTCCGGCCTCGGCACACGGGGGTGTCACGAGAGCTGGTGTCGGGGCGGGCGGCTCCGCTGCCGCCTCCAGCGCGGGGAAATCCTCGTCGCTGTTGCATGACGTGGGGGTGCCTACGCTGTCAACCGGAGCTGCCGAGGAACAGGGGCTGGTCTCGCGCTGGGAAGCAGAGGAGGTGGAAGCGGTTTCGGGCTGGGATTCAGCCAAGCTGCCTGGAACGCTGCTGTCCTCCAGGGAGACTCCAGGGAACGGCGGGTTGGCCAAGCAGTTCGCAACAATTGGCAAATTTAAATCCTTCACTCCTTGACATTCAGTTTCTTCCTCTATTAATGATGTTCAAAAGCGAGGGGTAGGGGATGGAGAAAGAAAGAAAAAAAAAAACAAAACCCACCGTGTTATTGGATAGATGTTTCTCCTTTTGACTATAGTTAGGTTTTCCTCTTGTGTCTTAAAACTACATCATATTCTGAGGTAATCAAAGGATGACGCTGATGTATCGTAAGCATGTAACACCTGGAAGGCTGCAAATTGAAAGAAAAATCTACAAATGTCTACAATGTATTGTTGTGTTCTTTAAAAGCAAATTTGGAAAAAAACAACCCTGTTGAAAGGTCATTTCTGGCAGTGTTATTCAAAGGAACTGACTGACCAGTAGTTCTCAGTGAAATCTCATTTTGCAATGTTTTTAATAACGCTGCTGTAAATAGTTTATTATGACTCATGCCAACAAATTAAACCGAGTATTTCCTCAGGTAAGAGCCTCTTTGATACAAAATACCCAAGCCAACTCTTCCTTGCTTAAAAGTGCTGCAGTAAATGACAACTGCCTCACTGAGGATTACAGGAGACAAATACTAATATCAACGCAGTTCAGAAAGATCTGCTCAATAGCACTACTAGTGAGACGTTTTTATTCCCCAGGAAACACCTGAAAGCTTAACAGACAGAAAAATAAGGCAGCCCTGAACAGAGTTAATTCATGCACACTTGACAGTTTAGATGTTAAAAACAGAACTCAAGTCAATTGCCATGAACTGAGTCCAAGAGATGAGCACCTGGCCCAAAAGAAAACAAAAACTCATGCAAAGAACAGGCTTTTCCTTCAGTTCTGACTGTTGTAACCTCAGTAAGCATATAAGAGCATATCACTGTAGAGAGCAATTTAAATGCAATTAGCAGAACACAGAACATTAACATCTCCAAGGGGGAAGCACTTAAAAATTTTACTCCGGAGCACAGCCCCTAGAAGCTGATGGACACTGGCACTGGTGGTGTTCAGGAGTGTCGCGCACAACCGACTGGGTTTGCTGTGCGTATGGAAAGTGTAAGGTGACAGAATTATGAGGCCAAAATAAATCCTCCTGAGGGTCACCACTTAACAAAATGCTGAGAACTATCTACCGCTTAATGCGAGCAAACAGGACCACAGCAGCAGCTCATCTCCCAAGGCATACAGCTCTTCAGTCCCTTGATGACACAGTGGAGAGTAACAGGCCTTCCTACCTGAAATTCCAAAGTCTGTTTGCCCAAGCAGGAATTACAGTTATAAATCACAGCTATCTACTGAGATACAATAGTCCCGGTCAAAGTTCTGCCAATCTCCTGTCTCAGATAAAAGCACTAAAAATGCTTTAGTCTTCAGACCAAGAACTCTACGTGACTTTGAAGACGGTACCTCCCAAAATCTTCCTGATGTCTGGTTTGGAAGTTAACTGCACGGCCAGCTCTCCCTCGGCGGTGAGGATGTGCTTGTCCGCCCCAGCACCCAGCAGGCAGGAGACCACCTGGGCCTGGTTCCTCTTGCAGGCCCAGTGCAGGCAGGTCCTGTGGGAGGGAAGCAGAGGGTGGGCTGTGCTATCAGCCCCCCAACCACCCCGCTCCTCCTCGCCCACCCATCTCCAGCCACAACAACCCGGAATAAAGTTTCCTTCACTGCATCACTATTTTTTTAAAGTTATGACTGTAATTTCTGCAGGGTAAGACCCTCTTTTACCGTGCTAGAGGGTGAAGAGCTGCTGTCCCACAGCCATGGGACGCGTCCATGTGGACATGGACAACTTTAGAAGAGGTCCTCAAGCAAACACGCAGTGACAGGTGGAGGGAGGGTGGCCTCCTATTATTATGATCCTCTTTAGCAGTAAATCTCAAAGCCTTCTGAGATTAGCATTTCCTTTTTTGTCCATAGGAAAACCCAACCCAAGAGCTGCGGCCTCCAAGCAGCTCTGCCCTGGGGCTAACACAGGGGCGACCACCCTCCCTGTGGGGACCCCGGCCATGTCTGCCCAGACACCCCGCTCCGGGCAAGGGCAGCGCCGGCCTCCCCCGCCCGCCGGGCCCCTCCGGGCCTGCCCCCGGTCACCGAGCCCGGCCCACCCGGGAGGAGGCCGGTACCCTCCCCGCCGCGCCATGAGAGACCCCATCCCCGCCGCCCCCCGGCCCGGCTGCCCCTCACCAGCCGTTGATCTCGTTGCGGGAGTTGATGTCCCCCCCCTGGCCCAGCAGCCGCCGCACCTCCTCCACGTCCCCCAGCGCCGCCGCCTCCCGCAGCCGCTCCTCCAGCTCCCGCGCCTC